TTTTTTTTTAATTCTTTTTTGTGTTTCCACTTTCTTAATAATTCCTGAGTTTTCTTTGGTATATAGATTTATTCCTCCAGATAACTTTAACCTTGCATCGCTTACACTCGAGCTGGAATTCATCAAGAAGGGGACTAAGAATGAGCAGGTAGTTTTTCAGTCTTGATGGTTTGTTTACTGTCCTACTAGTTTTTCTATTGCTTCATGAGGATGATAGGACTAATCTTTTTGAACCTTTTGTAGGTTGATCCTGTTCTGCTGGCTACACAGTTAAAAAAGAGCTTCATTAACCAGGTAGAGTTTTATATGGTTGACTTGTTTCATCGGCATGCTACTAGGTTTTTCTTCTGTCTTTATTTTTGTTTTAGATGAGCTGATTTTGAAATTTGAATTACCTTCCTGCCATCATAATGTTACAGGAGTTTTCATTCTTAAAATAATAGAACAGATGATTTGTATCTAATGGCTGTCAGTTAGGTGCAGTCTTTAGTACTCTGGGTGTCAGAAAAACTAAATACAAATTCTATTTTGACAGTTACAAGCTGCTTAAGAGTGGCTATTATATGTAAAAATGAGAAAATATTAGAAGCTCATTTGTTTCCACGAGGTTAAATTTGTTGGCTGGAACTTCCTGTCCAATTGTTAATGTAATCATTTCATTGCTATTATGTAGAAGGGGAAAAGAAATGTAGATCTGGTAGGTGCCATCTCTATGGGCGGATTTAGACTCACTCACACAAACTTTCTTACTACTTAAATGCATAGAGAATGGACTGAATTGATTGATCTTTGCTTACCATTCCTCTGGTTTTCTTTCTCATTTGAGAGTCATATTTTCAGTCATTGAACGTTGGTAACCTCATGTGCAGGTTATGACAGCAGGCCAAAGAGTTCCCTTTGAGTATCATGGGAATAATTATATTTTTACTGTCAATCAAGCTGTTTTAGAGGGGCAAGAAGGATCTAATGCTCCTGAAAGGGGGCTGATTTCAAATGAGACATATATTATCTTTGAGGCATCAAATTCAAGTGGAATAAAGGTTACATCACCACATGTTCTCACTTCTTTATTTTCATGTTCTATTCAGATGACTTCTATTCAATTTGAGATGAGTCATAGAGATTATTGTCTAATTTTATCCTCTCATCTCAACTAAAATTTGACTGTCTTGATATGACCAGCTTTATTGATTCGGTAGCTTGCTTTTCTGCTATTCAGATTGTAAAACAGCGTGAAGCTGCCAGCAGCAGCATCTTCAGGCAAAAGGGGTTTAATCTCCTGTCACTGGGTATAGGAGGCTTAAGCAATGAGTTTGCTAATATATTTCGAAGAGTTGCTTCTTGGCGTTTACCTTCCCATGGGACAAGCAAGTAATATAGCTAACATCTCAAATTATCATATTTATATTTTTGGTAGCTGTGCATCATCCCCTTATGAGAAAGTCTTTGAATTTCCAGATTGGGGATTAAGCATGTAAAAGGCATCCTACTTTATGGACCTCCTGGTACTGGCAAAACTCTCATGGCCCGTCAAATTGGAAAGATGTTGAATGGAAGGGAACCAAAGGTTTGGACAGGAGTATACTGTATTTATTTGCACTATACTTTAAGCAAACAATCCACATATGTTATCATTTCTCTTTTTTGTTTTCTATAGGATTGAGAACCTATGTTTTCTTTCTGAAATTGTATTTAACTTTTGGTGATAGAGCCTATGTTTTCTACTGTTTTTGTTATTTGACTCTTTGGACATATTTTTTGTTATTTGACTCTCTGGACATATTTTTTGTTATTTGACTCTTTGAACATATCTCGAATGAAACTTTTTTTGTAATATAATGGGCATCTGTAGTGATTGAATATGTTATTGCATTAACACATTGTAATTTGTTTCCTTCTTCTTTTTTTTTCTTTTTTTTTTCTTCTTCGAATCATATAGATTGTTAAAGGCCCTGAAGTTCTAAGCAAATTTGTTGGTGAAACTGAAAAGAATGTTAGGGATCTATTTGCTGATGCAGAGAATGATCAACAGACTCGTGGTAAGGGAGATTTAAAATTGCTAGTTCCTTTATTATATTTTTGTGGATTAGTTTGTCAATAGTATAATGATCTATCATGTCCTTGACATTTCAGGTGACCAAAGTGATTTGCATGTCATAATTTTTGATGAAATTGATGCTATCTGTAAGGTACTGGATTTAACAGCTTTATGTTATGCCCTTTAACTTGAGATTGGGAGTAGCATGATGTCTACAATGAGGACCAACATTTCCAGTACTTACCCTTTAACTTGAGATGCTATCTGTATGTGTTAAACTTGAATGTGTTTATACAATAATCGTCTTGTCCTTTGACAGGTAGGGTCAACCCTCCTTATCTTTTCCTATTCCCCTTATTCCCCTCTGAGCAAATTCTGGAGAATCTGGTTAAATAAGGGACACCTAATAGTTTTCTGGGATTTAGGTGCCATGGTACCCAGTAGGCTAGGGGTAATTAGTTATAATCTTTATTGATTAAATTGCACAAATCTCATAGGAATCCTTACTTTTTTCTTATCTTGATAATTTTGATGGTGATATTACTCTCTGGAAATCCTTTTGATGATCATGAAGGCGATGGATAATTCTTTGGTTTATGGCCTAGCCCCATGAGTATTAGTACTAATAGTATTTGTTGAGTGTAGCCGTGACAGCAAAGCTACACATGTCCAGCAATACTTTTGAAGTTACAGCACAGTGATTAGCTAAAGTAATGAAACAGGGCAACTATTGCTTCCTTAGCTTTTGAATGTTATGTAACTTAAGAAATAGGCTGTTGGCTTTGAAGTTTAGTTCGTATCGATATGCTGCCCTTTTTCTGTTGTTTACTGATATGTCATAGCATTGGCTACTTAGGAGACAAGGTAGCACAACTTTGGGAAAAGTAGAAGTCAAATCTTAACTTTTCATTGTAATTTTTTTTATGTACAAAAGGTTGAATTAACATATATGCTGTGGGTTCTGCCTTTCATCTTCCTTCTGATTTTCTCTCCATTTCTTTGTGGAAAAAACCAACAAATGGTATCAGAGCCCTATTGATCTTTGGGGGACTGTGAGAGAGTTAATCAAAGCATAACCAAAACCCACCAAACCTAGTGTAAACACGTGAGTAGAGAGCACCCTTGTTGTCATGGAATCCGACATTTCTTTTTCACCAAAAACCCTGATCTTCAATGGCCAAAATTACAACATTTGGGCTGTTAAGATGAAGACTTATCTCAAAGCCTTTGAACTCTGGGATGTAGTCGAGAATGATACTCAACAGTGTTGCTGTATGCTGCCATTGTTGTTCTGAATATACTCTGTATTGAGATAAGAAAGGACTTCCTTTGGTGACTTCTTATAAATCTCTATCTTTACCTTGTATAATTCTATTCCAGCTTTTGCATTTTGTCACTTGAACTTCTTCTCATCAAGTCTTGATCTGGTTAGCTAAATGTTATGCCCCTTAATTTCTTGTTCATCGTCACATT